CCACGCACCCTCCAGGACCCTGCTGAGAGTGTAGAGCTGGTCCAGTGTTCCACGGCCAGGACGAAAACCGCACTGTTCCTCCTGAATCCGAGCTTCGACTATCCGACGGACCCTCCTCTCCAGAACCCCCGAATAGACCTTACCAGGGAGGCTTAAGAGCGTGATTCCCCTGTAGTTGGAACACACTCTACGGTCCCCCTTTTTGAATAGGGGGACCACCACCCCGGTCTGCCAATCCAGGGGAACTTCCCCCGATGTCCACGCAACATTGCAGAGTCGCGTAAGCCAACACAACCCTACAACATCCAGAGCCTTAAGGAACTCTGGGCGGATCTCATCCACCCCCGGGGCCCTGCCACCGAGGAGCTTTTTAACCACCTCGGTGACCTCAGCACCAGAGATTGGAGGGCCCGACCCAGAGTCCCCAGGTTCCGCTTCCTCAGTGGAAGACGTGCCGGTGGGATTGAGGAGGTCTTCAAAGTATTCCGCCCACCGACCCACAACATCCCGAGTTGAGGTCAGCAGCAAACCACTCCCACTATAAACAGTGTTGGTGGCATACCGCTTCCCCCCCCTGAGACGCCGGATGGTGGACCAGAAACGTCTTGAAGCCGTGCGGAAGTCGTTCTCCATGGCCTCTCCGAACTCCTCCCATGCCCGAGTTTTTGCCTCAGCAACCACCCGAGCCGCATGTCGCTTGGACTGCCGGTACCCATCAGCTGCTTCCGGGGTCCCACAGGCCAAAAAGGCCCGATAGGACTCCTTCTTCAGCCTGACAGCATCCCTCACTGACGGTGTCCACCATTGGGTTCGAGGGTTGCCGCCGCGACAGGCACCGACAACCTTGCGGCCGCAGCTCTGGTAAGCCGCCTCGACAATAGAGGCACGAAACATGGTCCACTCAGACTCAATGTCCCCCACCTCCCTTGGAACATGTTCAAAGTTCTCCCGGAGGTGGGAGTTGAAACTCCGTCTCACAGGAGACTCTGCCAGACGTTCCCAGCAAACCCTCACAATACGTTTGGGCCTACCAGGTCTGACCGGCATCCTCCCCCACCATCGGAGCCAACTCACCACCAGGTAATGATCAGTTGACAGCTCCGCCCCTCTCTTCACTCGAGTGTCCAAGACATGTGGCCGCAGTTCAGATGAGACGATGACAAAGTCGATCATCGAACTGCGGCCTAGGGTGTCCTGGTGCCAAGAGCACATATGGACACCCTTATGCTTGAACAAGGTGTTCGTTATTGACAATCCATGACGAGCACAGAAGTCCAACAACAGAACACCACTCTGGTTCAGATCAGGGGGGCCGTTCCTCCCAACCACACCCCTCCAGGTCTCACTGTCATTGCCCACATGAGCATTGAAGTCCCCCAGCAGAACAAGGGAGTCCCCAGAAGGTGCACTTTCCAGTACCCCCTCTAAGGACTCCAGAAAGGGTGGATAATCTGAACTGCCGTTTGGTGCATAAGCACAAACGACAGTCAGAACCCGTCCCCCCACACGTAGGCGGAGAGAGGCCACCCTCTCATTCACGGGGGTGAACCCCAATACACAGGCACCAAGTTGGGGGGCAATTAGTACACCCACGCCTGCTCGGCGCCTCTCACCAGGGGCAACTCCAGAGTGGAAGAGTGTCCAGCCCCTCTCAAGGAAACTGGTTCCAGAGCCCGAGCCATGCGTAGAGGTGAGTCCGACTATTTCTAGCCGGAACCTCTCAGCCTCACACACCAGCTCAGGCTCCTTCCCCACCAGTGAGGTGACATTCCACGTCCCAATAGCCAGCTTCTGTAGCCGAGGATCAGACCGCCAGGGTCCCCGCCCTCGGCCACCACCCATCCCACATTGCACCCGACCCCTTTGGCCCCTCCCACAGGTGGTGAGCCCATGGGAAGGGGGACCCACGTCTCCTCTTCGGGCTGTGCCCGGCCGAGCTCCATGGGTAAAAGCCCGGCCACCAGGCGCTCGCCCACGTGCCCCACCTCCAGGCCTGGCTCCAGAGTGGGGCCCCGGTGACCCACGTCCGGGCAAGGGAACACTAGGTCCATTTGTGTTTTTCATCATAGGGGTGTGTTTGGGCTGCACTTTGTCTGGTCCCTCACCTAGGACCTGTCTGCCATGGGTGACCCTACTAGGGGCATAAAGCCCCTGACAGCATAGCTCCTAGGATCATTGGGACACTCAAACCCCTCCACCACGGTAAGGTGGCAGCCCAGGGAGGGCTGTTAATAAATGTGCTGAGAAAAGTGAAAACCTAGCATCTCTTGAGGTGCAAAAATTGAACTCTTGGTTCATACCACACCAAATTTTAATTCAGTTTCTGTACTGGTACCAATTGGCGAGACGGAGGGATCAGGCTGGAAAGGATGTGCAGCAGGTTAGCCTTGTTAAAGATAGGAATGGTAATGTTCTAACAAGTGAGAAGAGTGTGACAGGAAGGTGGAAGGAGTACTTTGAGGAGCTAATGAATGAAGAGACTGAAAGAGAAAGAAGAGTAGAGGTCATATAAACTGTGTACCAGGCAGTGGGGAAGATTAGTGAGGGTTAAGTTTGGAAAGCTCTGAAAATAATGAAAAAGGGGAAGGCAGTAGGACCTGATGGCATACCAGTGGAGGTTTGGAAATGTCTTGGAGAGCTGGTGATGGAGATGTGAAAGGTCACAGATGTTTTTCACTTACTGAAGTTGAATCTTATAACTCATATTACCATCATGTGTGTGTGTGTGTTAAAGAGTTGTTTTGTCTGGACAGATTGGAGGCAGAGGCATGGAGCCTTTACTCAAGCCTAAGCAAAGAGGCTGCAACCTTGGCTTTGTCTGATAAACTATAAAGGGACACTTTTTTATTCTCTTGGTGAGCAGACTTGGGACGGAGCGTCATGTAACATTTTGATGCTTGTATATTCAAAACTGCTCCATCTTGCAAGATTAAACTGGGATTAAGAAAATATCTGTCTCTCCTGTGTGGCATATTTATTCAAAGAGCTATTGAAAGGATAATATAAAATTATCCTAACAGATGGCAGTGAGTTTTTGACTCAAATATTCAATGGTATATTTGAGCGTGAGAAAATGCCTGTGGAATGGAGAAGAAGTGTGATGTCCATTTTTAAGAACAAAGGTGATGTACAGAGTTGTAGTAATTACATGGGGGATTAAGTTGATGAGTCATACGATGAAGATCTGGGAGAGAGTTGTGGAAGCAAGACTTAGACGAGAGGTGACTGTGAGCAGCAGTATGGTTTCATGCCAAGAAAAAGCACCACAGATGCCATTTTTGCTTTGAGAAAGCTGATGGAGAAGTACAGAGAGGGTCCAAATAAACTCCATTGTCTTTGTGGATTTAGAAAAAGCAAATGACAGGGTGTCAAGGGAAGAAGTGTGGTATAGCATGAGGAAATCTGGAGTGGCACAGAAGTATGTTAGACTGGTACAGGACATGTATGAGGACAGCAGGACAGTGGTGAGATGTGCTGTAGGAGTGACAGATAGCTTCAAGGTGGAGATGGGAATGCACCATGGATCGGTTCTGAGCTCCTTCTTGTTTGCTCTGGTGATGGATCGACTAACAGATGAGGTCAGGCAGGAATCCCCGTGGACTATGATGTTTGCAGATGACATTGTGATCTATGTTGAGAACAGGGAACAGGTGGAAGAGAACTTGGAGAGGTGGAGGTATGCACTTGAAAGAAGAGGAATGAAAGTCAGTCATAGTAAGACAGAGTACATGTGTAGCAAGGCCGGTGGAACAGTGAGGCTACAAGGAGCAGAGGTCACAAAGGTGCAGGACTTCCAAGTACTTGGGGTCACTGTCCAGGAAAAAGAGGAGTGTTGTCAAGAGGTGAAAAAAAGAGTTCATACAGGATGGAGTGGATTGAGAAAAAAAATTCAGGAGTGGTTTGTGACAAAAAAGTGTCAGCACAGGTCAAAGGAAAAGTTTACAACACAGTTGTGAGACCAGCTATATTGTATGGTCTGGAGACAGTGGTATTGACAAAAAGACAGAAGAAAGAACTGGAAGTGGTGGAAATGAAGATGTTGAGGTTCTCCTTAGGAGTGACAAGGCTAGATAAGATTAGGACTGAGATCATCAGAGGTACAGCACAGGCTGAACAACCAAGAGATAAAGTTAGGGAGGCCAGACTGAGATGGTTTGGACATGTCCAGAAGACGGACAGTGGGTATATTGGTAGAAGGATGTTAGAAATGCAGCTGCCAGAAAAAAGACAAAGAGGAGATATATGGATGCAGTTACAGATGACATGGAGGTAGTTGGAGTGAGGACAGAGGATGCAGAGGACAGAGTGAGGTGGAGGACGATGACTCACTGTGGAGACCCCTGGAGAGGGAAAAGCTGAAAGAAGAAAAAGAAGATTTGTGGACAGTTAACAGTAATGATAAAACATCATAAACCTTCATTTAAAATCTCCTGACAAAACACATATAGACACAGGCAACAACTTCATTGTCTGCTTTTCAGCATCGGGCAAAGTTAAGACGGTTGAGCCAGTCTGAAAATGTAAACTCCATCCATCTATCTGCTGCCTGGACACTGCTGGTGAGACGTTCCACCATTTTTGAGTCGTCTGCAGATTTCACCATGAGGGTATTTGTCACTGAGCTATGCGGATGTGCGTCAGCATTTTGTTGTGGTTTTTTTAAGTCAGGAGCCTGAATCCCAATCTGACTGTGAGACCATAGCTGAGAAATATGTGGTGTTGTGGCTTGTTTCAGAAAGTTTTACCACAAAAAGAAGTGAAGTGAAAGGCAGCTGCAAGAAATATTCTTTTGAACAAGACTTATCATGAGGCGGACAACGTTGTTGATCACACCTTTGAGTTTTGGATTTTTGTTTCATTATACTAATGTATTTTTTTTGTTTATACCCGTTATTAGAAGCAACACGAATAAAAAAAATATTCTAGCTGTGTTATTTCTAAGGAGGGGCTGAAAAGTGACAGGTGTTCAGAGCCAAACTTGTTGTTTTCAACAACCGTGAATGTGCAATAGACCACATCACTCTTTCTTTTTCTCACTTCCTCCTGCAGGAAGGATGGGCTGTCTGAAGTCCACGCTGAGCGGTGGTCTGGGGAGTGCTGTGGAGGGGAAAACACAACAGCAGGATGCACAATCTGATCAGGCGCGCTACGTGAGAGACCCCACCTCCAAAACAAAACTTGACAGAGTAAGACAACTTAAGAGAGGCAACTGCTCCATGTGATTGTTTTCAACCAAACAAACAAAAAAAAAAAGACAAATAAGATGCAGAAATCTAGCTAGTCATATGTTTTATGCGCTTTATGAGTCTAAAATTGAAAAATTAAAAACTGGTAATCAAACTATTAATAGCCATGACGGAAAACATTTTTGAGTCATATCTTTATTTATTTTTTTTTAAATCTGTTAAACATTTTCCATTATATTTCTGAGATATTCATAAGAAAGTGACTCAAACGTTTCCTAATACAACTTCCTTATGAAAGAGTTGATGTCTGTTAGAATGAGCTGAACAGATTCTGAAGGAGTCAAAGGACTTCTGAAGAACACCATCTAACATGTTTTTTTTTTTTTTTGCAGACTAACACCTTATTACCAGGTCAGGTGTTCGAAAAGATGGAAGGTATTCCACCATTTTTCTTGTCTTATGTGCATTTCTCTTTGCTTTACTTTTTTATCTGGTAAATATATTTCATGTTGAAGCTACTCATTCTGACCTGTGGGACAAAACAAATGGAATTCTTAATCCTACTTTTTATATATTGTTAGCTTCTAGGCATTAGCCACAATGGCTGGGAAATTTAAAGAAACAAGGTAGCAGCACCAAAGAGTTAATGTCTTTTATTGCAATGAGCCTTCAAAATGAGCAATTTTAAGTAAAACGTTGTAACAGGTCCAGTGCAACATATTTTTATTTACCTGAGGAATAAAACAGAAAGTTCTTGTTTCGGTCAGTTTTATTGTAAAGAAAAGCTAAACATGATCAAAGTAAACTACACTAAATAATTGCATACTAACGCTTTAGTCATCCTAAAATGTTTTCTTTGTTTGAGCAATTTATAGTTCACAGTACATTCTTTGCAAATACTTTTAAAAACATTATTGCATTTTGTTCTGAAGAAAAGCTGAAGACATACTTTTTGTTTCAGTCATATCTGATTAGACCTCTTTGTTCCGCCGCTCTTTAACAAAACTCGCATTCAGTGGACAAAAATATTAAATCCACGAGTGATCAGAATTTGTTTTACCTCCTCACAGAGGACCACAGAGGAGATTGCATCCTCTGTTGACCGTGAGAACCGATCAACAGAGGATGCAATCTCCTCTGTGGTCCACACTGCACTCAACCACCTGGAGCAGAAAAACTCTTACGTCCGTATGCTCTTTGTGGACTTCACATCCGCCTTCAACACCATGATCCCCCAAACCCTGATGGACAAACTATCCACACTAGGACTAAGCCCCTCCATCTGCAACTGGGTACTAGACATTTAACAAACAGACCACAGTTAGTGAGGATCCACAACCTCTCCTCCTCCACCATAACCCTCAGCACTGGCTCTCCTCAGGGATGTGTGTTGAGCCCCCTTCTGTTTACTCTGCTCACATATGATTGTGCTGCTACCCATCCAGGCTGTCACATTGTAAAGTTTGCAGATGATACAGCGGTGGTGGGATGCATCACAAACAATGATGAGTCCAGCTACAGGCAAGAGGTGGAACACCTGGAGAGCTGGTGCAGAGAGAATAACCTTCACATCAATGTGAAGAAGACAAAGGAGATGATTGTGGACTTCAGAAGGAACAAAAACACCTACACCCCCCTGAACATAAGAGGATCTGCGGTGGAAGTGGTCTCCAGCTACAAGTACTTGGGTGTACACATGAATGACAACCTCAGCTGGAGCAACAACACCACCAGCCTGATCAAGAAAGCTCATCAGAGACTCTACTTCCTCAGACGGCTGAGGCGAGCTGGTCTGGGAAGCTCAGTCCTCACCTCCTTCTACAGGTGTGCAGTGGAGAGCATCCTGTGCTCGAGCATCAATGTGTGGCATGGAGGCTGCACAGCTGCAGAAAGAAAAGCTTTGCAGAGAGTGGTGAAGGCTGCACAGAAATCTGTTGGAATCAGTCTCCCCACCATCACAGACATCTACACCTCCAGATGCAGGAAGAGGGCCACCTGCATCATGAAGGACCCCACCCACCCAGCACACACACTTTTTGCCCCACTCCCCTCAGGAAGGAGGTTAAGGAGCATTAAGTGTAGAACCACTAGACTGAGGAACAGCTTCTACCCTGAGGCTGTTAGACTCATGAATCTCTAACTAGAATAATCACTGTGAAAAACCATATCATGTTGCTGCTGATCTGTTTCATGTTGCTGCTGATCTGTTTCATGTTGCTGCTGATCTGTTTCAATGTTGATGTGTTCATGCGTGCACATCTGCTCACAGACTCATGTTCATGTTTGTGCTGATGTTCAATGTTTTATGTTATGAGTGCTTAGTGTATATTTAGTTGATGTTTTTCTTAGTTCATATCTTAGATGTTATTACTGTTTTTCTTATACATTTTATTGTTGGATGTAACTGGGACCCCGTGTACATAATTTCGCTCCACCACATGTACCACATGAAGTGCGACTGACAATAAAGAAACTCTGACTCTGACTCTGACTCACAGATCATAGCAGCGCCTCATATACCACAGACTCACTTTTTGTGAGGAAATAATGGACTTTATCAAGCCTGTAACGTAACTATAAACATGTTTGGTGTAAATCAGGGTTATTCAACTGGTGACCCAGGGGCAAATCAGGCCCACAGATGAGCTCAGTTCGGCCCACCAATGGGTTCATTTTTAAATAAAACTAGATTTTAAACCATAAAACAAACTTATTTAATGAGAATAACTGCTACATGTTGACCCCATGAGCTCTTGACTTTCAGTAACTGTGGCTCTTTGAGCAGTTTAGTTACATAGTCCTGTTGTAAATGATTATTTTTGCAGTGAAGTCTAAGGGCTGAACTGAGCGCAGACAGATATTTAGATATAGTATTTGCTTGATTACATCTGATTCCTCCGTCTGACTCTGCAACACCAAAATCTGTAACTGAAAGAGGAATTTCAATGACTGTAAAAATAGACTGACAGTACCTGCAACTGTGCACGCATGTGTTCATTTGTATGTTTAAAACTTTGGCACGTCAGGTAGATCAAACATGGATTATTTCAAGGAATGTAATTTTCATGTATTTTTAGCATCTGTTTTTTTCAAACAGAGGAACTATTAATATTGTTTGATTTGAAAGTGAGTCATGGTTTTTGTTATTGCGTTCCAAATTTATGACGTTGATTCAACTGTTACAGCCTTTAAAGGGACAACAACACAGTTTTGAGTAGTATGTGCAGTGTATTTTAAAATGCAAGTCTCAGTGAGCTAAAGTGCATTTTGTGAACTCAGTGTACAGTGTTATATCTCAGCCTTTTCAAAATAATTTAGCTTTAAATAAAGTGAAAAAGTGGAGGACAGAAACAAGGATCAGGCTAAAAAATAACAAATAAAAATGTATCTACAGCAGATGAACAATGTCTGAAGGTCATGTCTTGGAAAATAATTACCAAGAAATCATGTTTATAGTGTATAAATACAGTTTTATTTGTCAACCTAAAGATCCATCTTGAATAGGGTTTGTTGCTAAATTGCGAGGCATGGGTCAGCGCGACATCTAATGATGTCTTGAGTTTATGAGCCGTTTTATACCTGAATGATTCACGGATCACAATCAAGTGGGTCAAGAGTCATCTGAAAATCATCTGAAACAAGAACAGAAAATTTGTGAAAAAATGGTCCTGGTCCGAACTGTCGATCAAAGAACACATGAAAGTCCAGCTGCTTGGAAGCAAAATATGAGAAATAAAAGGATGACTCAAGACTTTTGAACAGTATGGTATACAGCTCCATTCATAGTTTTCTTGGAAGTCTGCAAAGTAAGTTTCCTAGGGTTGCCACAGTGAGCAAATTTGCATGAAAGATTTGGCAATCTGTTTTACACCGGATGCCCTTCCTGACACAACCTGGGCTCAAACCCACAACCTCAGGATCACAAAACCACTGCACTGATCACCGAGCTACTGCAGCCCCCTTAGAAGTCTACAAAATACCTCTTATTCCCTGGACCTTATAATTTACCACATGGAAGGGCTAATGTTAATGTTAGCATGTTAGCTGGTGTTTTGCTGTAGATGCTGTGTATCACTGCTAGCTGAAAAATACCTGGCCCATTTGGAATGATGAGCATATCTTCAACTTTGTATCTTCTTGCTGGCAGCGGCAGCCTAATATGTTCCACATTTATTCTGTTTTATTTGAAGAAAAGTTCCTGCTCACACCCGGTGATATAACCTCTCCTGGTTGAAGTCGACATCCTTATGAGAACAAGTTCAGGACACATTCAAGGGTGGTCTGGGACACTATTGACCACATTTCATTAATTACTGTAAAAAATCAAAGTGTCCTGGTCCACGCAAATAGACCATTATGAGCATACATGCTTTTTTAATCGCAGCATAAGTTTATTTTGTACAGTTTTTTTTTTTCATGCAACCTTTGTTTATACAAATAAATCACATTGAGCCTCGAAGACTCATTTACAAGTGAGACCTGTTTGGACAGACAAAAAGTCATGAAAGTGACAACATATATAGGATATGGAGGCAAAAAAAAAAAAATCCTAACAGACTCTCATTCCATGGCTGAGGAAAGATAGCCTGAAATAGAAAAGAACACCTCGCACATAAGCACATAGTGATGCAGACATTCCGCAGGGGAGAGGAGAAGACAAGAGCAGTGAGTGTGTCCAAGGACACTCCAGGGGCACTGTAGAAGTTCTGATAAGAATGGTATAATCAGTCAGTTCCCTCTGGTGAGATCCATCAACACTCTCCAGGGTGCTGAGGTCGACTTGGACAGCACCAGAGAGAATCCAAGAGTCCTGAAATGACGACACAATGTTTATTCAGCCGGGTGGACACACCGCTAGTCCATGCCTGAGAGTATTCCCCGAGGTCTGACCCATCCTGCCAGCAAATCCTATGGGCTGCAAGTGGCCTGCAATTCTCACAAATCACATCCAATTTGCGGTTCAGTTCGCTAAGCATTTGAGTCTGGGTGTTCGAGGCATGGAGCAAACCATCACACAAGGCAGACAGCCTGACCAGGGCCAAATTTGCTGCAGACAACTTCCTTGTTTGTTGATAAACCAGGAACCAGCAGATTCCAAAAAGCCTGTTATCACAAATCCATTTATATACGTGTCTTCGACATCCTTGATTCTTACTTACTCATATCCTTACATTAATGTGTTTTTTTATAGTTGAATTTTAACAAAGTTGGCCCTTTTTAGTCTGTATTTTTAGACACGTCATGTTTGACAGTGATAAGTGGTAAACTTTTGTATTTTGTCAGAACTGACATGTCATTTTTCTTTTTCGTCTTAGCAAACAATGAACCTGGCAAAATAGTGATTGGCCTTTACTCTTACGAAGCAACACACCCTGATGACTTGAGATTCAAGAAAGGAGAAAAGATGAAAATCTTAGAAGAGTAAGTGACTCAAGTTAACGTGATGTAAAGTTTGATAGTAGTTCATACATTATGTAGTATAGAGGAAACATAATCATAATTATAGCAGGTCATCTTATTTATTACTGTGAAATACGGCCAACCATAGCTGAAGGTATTTTACCGTAAATTACACAATTTAATGTTTAAAGCTAAATTAAATGCCTGAATTAAATTGAATAGAATTATTAAGTTAGTTTCTAAATAATTAAAAATTACAGATTTACGAGAATGTTAGGACCCTTTGTTTGAGAGTAAAATGTATTTATGTTTATTTCTAGACATGGTGACTGGTGGAAAGCAAAGTCTCTGACATCCAACAAGGAAGGATTCATACCATCAAATTACGTCGCCCAGGTCAACACCATGGAAACAGAAGAGTGTGTAGCTGCATTCTGATTACTAAATACAATTTATAAATCTCAAGATGATGGTGTTTTGTTTTATTTATTTTTAGTTGAAATCATATCTTCACTTGTTTGTGTTTTAATCATTAAAACTTTGATTTTTATCATTTAAAAAAAATGCTTAATCTAATGCAGGTGGTTTTTTAAAGACATCACACGAAAGGATGCAGAAAGGCAGCTTTTGTCACCGGGAAACAAACCAGGATCTTATCTCATCAGAGAAAGTGAGACATCGAAAGGTACAAAATCACAACAGAGCTTAGAGAGAGAAAAAAAATATCTGAAAATATATCAACACTGAACATTCACAAATGAAACATTCCTAAATATTTGAAATGATCATTTTTCAGGAGACTACTCACTGTCAGTCAGAGACATCAACACTCAAAGGCTGGATTCAGTGAAACATTATAAAATCAGGAAGTTGGACAATGGTGGCTTCTACATTTCTCCCAAAATCTCCTTCCCCAACATCGGCAGCATGATCAAACATTATCACAGTGAGTATGGCTCTGGAACGTAAAATGAAAGCTTGTATTCAAGTTTACTGGAGGTGTCATGGTCCGTTGACTCATCCAGAGCACTCGTTTATCTCTGCAGAAAGAGCAGAGGTTGAGAACGCAGTAAAAGTGGCAAAGCTACAAGAACTCTGTGTGAAGTGATAGAAAGGACCTTAACCCTCTGCTGTCCTTGGATCAAAATGGTCCACGAGGCTGGACATGTTTTTTTGGCGGCTGTGGCTGAGTGGTTAGAGCAGTTGTCCTCCAATGCAAGAATTCGAGGTTCAAATCCACCAGCAGTCACATGCCGAAGTGTCCCTGGGCAAGACACTGAACCCCTCATTGCCTCCGATGCGTGTCCCATTGATGTATGAATGTGATCTAAAGCGCTGATTAGTCATTGTAGAGATCTAGTAGAGTGCTGTATGAATGGGTGAATGAGGGCACAGATTGTGTTGTAAAGCGCTTTGAGTGTCTTGATCAGATAGAAAGGTGCTATATAAATACAGTTCATCCATTTACAGTTATTTAAATTTAAGAAGGCACAACGTAACGCTAAACACTTTATTATTTCTAAAGCTCACAGTAACATGAGTCAAATGTTATTTTTACCAATGGTAAAGGATTCAAAAAGTGTTCAATACAAAAACAACTGGACTTTATTTGTAACAGAAGACTTTTCGCTCCTCATCCGAGGAGCTTTCTCAATTCAAAGAGCAGAGAGTGAGGGGTTCAGGTTATAAGGCTGAGTGAGATAAGACACACACACATATGTAGATTGGCAGTTCACACCTAAACACCTTAACAGTAGGTCTTTGTTCCTCTAATTCACAGACGAGGCCCATCTGTTCCCATCTAGTGTGAAAACCGGCTGGGAATCTGTTTTAAAGTTGCATTAAATGTTTTTGAAAGTGGAAATCTGAGGCCTCCTCCTCTGTTAAGAGACGGCTTTTCTCTTTTTACATAAATTGCTTCCTTCACCCCCCTCTCAAACCATCTGTGTTCTCGGTCCAAAATGTGTGACGTGGAGGTGAACTGCGGAATTTTGTCCAGAGGAGGTGGATCTCCTGTGTTGAACCATGCGTCTGTGAAGAGGCTGTTTAGTTTCTCCAATGTAGAGGTCTGGACAGTCCTCGCTGCATTGGACCGCATACACTACACCGCTCTGTTTGTGTATGGGTGTTTTGTCCTTAGGGTGGACCAGTCTCTGTCTGAGAGTCCTGCTGGGTTTGAAATGTACTGGGATCTTGTGTTTGTTGAAGATCCTTCTGAATTTCTCTGATACTCCAGCAACATAAGGGATGACAATGTTTTTCCATCTGTTGTTCTCCTTTTTCTGTTTATTAGTGTGTTTTGAATTTTGAATTCACTTTGACTTCAATTTGACTTTTTGAATTCATCATGTCCTGGATGACTGAGAATCTACACCAGCATAATGGTATAGGAATTCACTCAAAAATAAAAGCAGATTTTTTTATCTTATATTACTTCTTGATTGTCTTTCACAAATGCAGTTATGCTATCTTGCTGGCATGCTATTATTTAAGTAACTAAATGAGTTTTCATTTCATTAACATTATAAGTAGGCATAGACACCATCTATCCATCCATTTTCTTCCGTTTATCCGGGTTCGGGTCACGGTGGTAGCAGCTTAAGTAGGGAGGCCCAGACTTCCCACTCCCCAGCCACTTGATCCAGCTCCTCCGGGGGAATCCCAAGACGTTCCCAGGCCAGGCGAGAAACATGGTCCCTCCAGCGTGTCCTGGGTCTTCCTCTGGGTCTCCTCTCGGTGGGACGTGTCTGGAACACCTCACCAGGGAGGCGTCCAGGAGGCATCCTAACCAAATGCCCGAGCCACCTCAACTGGCTTCTCTTGACATGGAGAAGCAGCGGCTCTACTCTGAGTCCCTCCCGGATGACCGAGCTTCTCACCCTATCTCTAAGGGAGAGCCCAGACACCCTGCGGAGAAAACTCATTTCTGCCGCTTGTATCCGAGAGCTCGTTCTTTCGATCACAACCCAAAGCTCATGACCATAGATGAGGGTAGGAACGTAGATCGACTGATAAATTGAGAGCTTCGCCTTTTGACTCTGCTCTCTTTTCACCACAACAGACCGGTACAGCGCCCACTTCACTGCAGACGTTACACCTATCAGCCTATTGATCTCACGCTCTATTTTTCCCTCATTCGTGAACAAGACCCCAAAATACTTGAACTCCTCCACTTGGGGCAGGACCTCCTCCCTGACCCAGAGAGGGCACTCTACCCTTTTCCGGCTCAAGACCATGGCCTCAGATTTGGAGGAACTGATCCTCATCCCGGCCGTGTCGCTCTCGGCTGCGAACCGCTCCAGTGAAAGCTGTAGATCACGATTTGATGAAGCCAATAGGACCACATCATCTGCAAAAAGCAGAGACGCAATCCTAAGACCACCAAAATGGATCCCCTCGACACCTTGGCTGGGCCTAGAAATTCTGTCCATAATAGTTATGAACAGAATCGGTGACAAAGGGCAAACTTGGCTGAGTCCAACTCTCACCAGTACAACAGTAGACACAATCATAAAAAGTGAATTGAAAAATAAAAGAAAATTAAATATATATAAAAACGAAACAAAAACAGCTACATTATAAAGTGATGTAAAATACTAAAAACAGGAACATGTCTGTGTTGGTTTTTGCCATGAACTTAGCAAATGTTTGAAGCCATTTACTCACTTTAATATTCACTTTAAAGCTAGGAATAAAAAAATAAAATAAACATGTTTAGTGTTAGCAGGATTTAATACTAACTTTGAAACTTATCCAACATTAATAAAACTTACCTCACGTTGCCTTTTTGGACATTCATGCATATATTCTAAATAAAGGTTGAATGAATGTGTACAAATTGCACTTGCCTATAGAGAAGAGATTATTACAGCCTCATATAAAATCAATAATGATGATGATATCGGAAAAAAATCTGTATCGGCCAATATCCAGATTTAGGTATTGGGATGGGATCAGAAGTAAAAAAAATGTGGATCGGTGCATCCCTAATTTTAACAGTAAAGTTTAACTTACCCGTGACAATAGTTTCCACTTTATATTTCTTTCAAAATAAACTACGATCGCAGAAACAGATGATGGGATACTCTAAGTTGCTTTTCATTCTTTTCTGGGGTGTGGGGTTGTTGGGGGGATTGGGTGTTGTGTTAGAAATAAAAACACCCCAACTTTAATAGCATTATTAGGAAACAACTTAGTGTGTTACTACATGTTATATACAGTATATATGTTTGTTTGTTTTTTTTTAAGATTGTAGTGATGGTTGCAATATATTTTATTTATTTATTTACTCACATTTTCAGTAAACTTTGAATAACTGAAAATCACTTCCCATCCCTAGTTATAAGTATTTTGTGATGTACAAATGAAAAACGCAATCCTTGTTTTATGGAGTCTCACCTACAGTAACTCATAAAGCTAAATGTTTTCTAGCTTCCCCTGCATACTTAAGAGGCAGCCCTTAACAAAAATAGCACATTTGAAGTTTATTTTTGCAAGTATACTTTAAGTTAAGTATAAGTATATCATGTATACTACACACCATACTTGTAGTGTACTAGAAGTATACTGATTTAATACTTGTTTGGACTAAATTGGGACATTTTTATACTATTTTTAAGTATATCAAATAAAGTTTATTAAAAGTAAACTTCAAGTACACTTCCTCATTTTTAGTATAAAATAAGTATACTTGTAGTACACTTAAATAAACTACTTTTTGCTAAGGGAGTGTTAAAAATACCCATTGCTCAAATAAAAGGATGTCTCTGTGTTTACTTCACAGCCAAAGCAGACGGCCTGTGCTATAAACTGGAGCGTCCGTGCATAAAACCTAAAGCACAACGGCCCTGGGATAAGGACGCTTGGGAAATATCCAAGGACTCTATAAAGATGGTAAAGAAGCTGGGAGCAGGGCAGTTTGGAGAAGTCTGGATGGGTGAGTATGGAGAAACAAGCTAAACCAAATTAAAAACGCCGTCTTAAAAACAATCCTATATCTAACAGGTTGCCACAAAAATGGACCACTGCAGTGGTGCACTTTTGCCAAGCTGGGCATACGAGTTCTGTCATGTTTGAATGGTAAAAAGCAAAATAAGCATCAAAGTTTGCAAGTACCCCAGGCTTCTCTCCAACCCTTTCCACTGGAATGAGAACATTTTTATTATAGCTGGTATGAAGTGTTGTAAGGTTAAACTAAACAGTCGTTTGTTGAGTTGTGTGCACCTCACAGAGACAGAAAGCTGTGGTGAGGGGCCATGGGTCTATGAGTCAATACTCACCTCAGCAGTTCTAGGTTATTTCCTGTTTGGTTTGCTGCAAAACCAAATATTTGTAGGTAGAGGAAGAACCAGACGACCCAAAGGGTTCTGTCCACAGAAACAGAAGATATCAGAGTTCAAGGTATATCAATAGTCAAATTACAGGTGAAAAACAAATAAATTGATTGATTTTTCATTTTAGCTGTAAAGGCAACTATTATTTGTTTGTTTGCAAACGACACGTTGACGGGTGGCTGCGTAAAGAAGAGTTTGACTCTTTTATTTCAGATCCATCCTTTGATTTCCTGTCAACTTAAAACTGCAGAAGTGAAGAAAACATTAAAGTTTCATTTCCCTACACTTGTCGCTCCCAAAGTGTTTGGCTTTGGATCGTTTCTCTAAAAATAAATTATTAATAAGATGTCAGCACATTCGATGATCTTAGGCACGTTTAAATGAGCGTCACAGTCAACGAAGCACCGGGTTGGATGCGACGGCTGATTTGTACTGGAGGTTTGAGAAGCTGGTGAGATCATGTGATGCTGAGGGAGTGCTTATACAGCAACGAGACGTTAGTTTCATGTCTCACCAGGTGTAAGTGCTGCGACAGCAGCTGTCGTGGTTTAAAAAAAACAAAAAAGAAATAGAAAATGTGACAACAGAAAGGTTTTTTTATTTTATTTTTTTTATTATTTTGGGTGTGGTTCAGGGGAAGTTATATTGAATTCAGACAGGAAGTGCAAAATAAAATTTAAAAAATGACTTTTTCAACCATGAGTGACTTATATTGAATAGCTACTAACTGTTTGCATAGTGTATTAATTTTCATTAAATCTGTGACCAAATGGAATAATTTTGGTGCAGTTAAACATCTTTTAAAACAAAATGAGGAGTTCAAATCTATCTCAGCTCACATGAATCTGTCTGCAGATCATTTCTGTTCTGCATTCTCTACTTGTCCCGTTGTACCTTTGAAATTCAACAAGGCTTTATTGTACATTATACAGCAAGTTAACATGCAAGCAAGTTTACCACACTTTGAGTTGTTTTCTGTCATCATTTGCATTTTTATTAGTGTTATGGGTAAAAACATTTTATCTAACTTCTCTTAGCTGTGATTTGTAACATAACTTCATCTAACATTCATTGAGTACATTCAGTTTTCTGAGTTTCATTGAGGTCTAGGATGACTTGCTAGGGATGAATCTGGACAACTACCACACCAAATGTTTGCTCAAAATCTGGGAAATTAATTGAGTTATAAATGTTTTCTGTTGGCTAAGGTCATGTATCATGATCTGAGGTTACATCTAGTAATTACTTTTTCAGGGTTTCATTCAAATCTGTCCAGTGGCTGATGAGATATTGAGATGATGAGATATTTTGCTGATAAATGGGCACAGACACACGAGCAACAACATTGTTCCCTTTTGATGTCCATGATGTCAGTAAACGCACCAGAAGTAACAAAATTACTTTTATTAAACAGATCAAACTTGTTGTTGAGTAACAATGCTTTTCTTGGCCAAATAAATACAGAACCTGTTAAACTTGAACAAAATTGTAGTCTGACCTGCAATCAGCTGGAAATTATTTGGTAATGCTTTTTCCGTGTCTTGTTTTTTTTTGTGTGTGTGTGTGTGTGACTTCAGCTTACTATAACAACACCACCAAAGTGGCGGTGAAGACGCTGAAGCCTGGCACCATGACTCCAGAAGCTTTCTTAGAGGAGGCCAATGTGATGAAGACGCTGCACCACGACAGGCTGGTTCGGCTCTACGCAGTCATCACCAAGACAGAACCCATCTACATCATCACTGAATTCATGGCTAATGGTATCTGCACTCTTGTTTACTGTGGATGATTTCATCAGGGAGAGGATCTGAGTCATTGCATTAGAGCGAGGTCAGCTTCACTGTTAGGTGTCAGGAACATGAACACGTTGAAGGGTTCATTTGGATTATTTTGGAGTGGGGTTATGTGGAGATGGTATCTGTAGTCAGTATGCAAGCTGCAGTAGACAGCAGACTGAAACAACTTTAATTGGTAGAATCAAGGAGAAATTAAATTCTCTGAAGAATCAAGCTATCATCTTGTCTGAATGAGGCCAGTATTGAAGTGTACTTCTGCACTTTTTTTCCTCCAAAAAACTCAAATCTTAAAGACATGATATCAGTTCAAGTAAAAACGGTTTTATTGTTGATTTTTTTTTTTTTTAACTACCTTACTTTTACCGTAGATCATTATTCTGTCCTGTTAGGTCTTAAACATGTTCATTTGACACATTATTGTTGGATCAGCTGCACAGCTTTTCTCTCAGGCGTCTAAAGTTTTCACCACAGGTTAAGAGGCGTCAACAACGTCCTGATTTGTCAACTGTGTATTATAAAAGAACACGAAACGTTTCTCACTTAAAGAAACTGGTCCAGATGACACGATTTAACTTTTGTTGTTGTTATCTACCTGGATGATTGAGTTTACAACCTTTTTCTGAACCACTTTGGCCTTGGTTGTCCTCAGGCTGTTTCTGGGAGTAGCAAGTTGGCCACCTGTCCTACAACATCTGATCATTCTACATGATGATTGATTGTTTTGGACAGATGATCCCTTTTTGTATGTGTTAAAATCCAGTTTTCTGGGAGTTCATCGGGAGGATGGCTTGAAACACATCAATGAGTGCTATTTATGGGACAGGTCTGGGTTGGCAGGCCACAGACTGATGAAGTCTTTCAGATGAAAGACGAAACATTTCTCCCTTAAAGAAACTTGTCCAAATTACATGATTTAACCTTTTTTGGTTTGTTTTTATCTTCAAGTGGTTTTTGCCTGGACTTTAACATTTTTGTGGATTTTTTAGGGTAATATAATCTAAATGTGGATAACAGCAAATCTTTTCAAAACAAGCGTCCATGTTTCCTCCTTTTAGGGTCCGGGACCCTAACGAAGCGGTACAGATGATTAAATTCACACCACACTGACTTTAGCGTTGAGCCTACAGCAGAGTAGGTGTGAAACCATGAGTCATAAACTATGACTTAAACTCATTTGGCAATAAGTGTTTCACAAAAAATAACGATAACAGACCACAGACAGGTATGATCTTCACTGTAGAGTTGTACATAAACATCCATTTAATACTATATATTATATATATAATAATATATAGTGTATAACATATAAGAATTTTCTTCTTCTTCCTGCACCCTTTTCATTCAATTAGTTTTCTTTTTGATGAATTTGTTTTGTTTCTTTTGTTTCTTTTAAATGAATGAATAAATACAGAATTAACAAAGGTGTAATACGTTTCAAAGTGCTTGCATGAACTTATAATAACGTTTTGAGTTTTGAGTTATTTTAAGGTGACAAAATGTTACTTCGAATGTGACCCCAGTTTAATCACCTGTTAGCATGACTGCTAATAGATTCACGTTTTATTTATTCTCCAAACTAAGATAATTTAGTCCATCTACCGCAGGTAAGATGTTGATGACTGAAAAACCACTCTACAGAACTCCACCGGAAAAATCTAAACTATTCCTTTGAAAGGAAAAGACTGAACAACAACTAAGAGTATTTAGTGGAAAACAGCTGGACTCATTGTCTTGGTTCTTTACTGAAAGTAAAAAATGCAGCATATTGATGCACACACAGTCACACCTATGAACAAAAATATCGTTTCCTGTTTTGTATTATTTTTTAGGAAGCCTTCTAGACTTCTTAAAAAGTGACCCAGGATGCAAACTGCAACTACCAAAGCTTATTGATTTCTCAGCACAGGTGACTTTTTCTCTTCTTCTGTATATATTTTATATTGATCTTTACATTTAACTCTCATGGTTTGACAAACAGATATCACCGTTTATCACATTTTTCTGCTGTTTCATGTGTTCTTGTTTTTTGGCTAATGTTACAAGCCTCGTTTCCTTGTTCTGTTTCAGATAGCGGAGGGCATGGCGTACATAGAGAGGAAGAATTATATCCACAGGGACCTGAGAGCTGCAAATGTCCTCGTGTCCGAGAGTATGCTGTGCAAAATAGCCGACTTTGGGTTGGCAAGAGTCATCGAGGATGACGAGTATTCTGCCAGAGACGGTAAATGTTGGGAACAGGAGTGTGTGGTCATTTTTGTGTGTAAGACGTGTTCCTATCAATAATGAGTCACTTTCCAGACTGCGTGTTAAGAAGTGAAACTTAAAAACTTTTTTGAACAGGCAGCTATGTTAGGTGCAAAACAGACCCTTGTGGTTTCATTTCGTCGTACTTTCAGTTGATGTGTATTATATGTGTATTATTACCACAATGCCTCTAAAGCCACACGTTGCACTTCACTTTGTTCTCGTGCCTTGTCAGGCAAGGGGTTATTAAAATATTAGTTTGGGTTTTGTGAAGTTGGTTTTTGTTGTAAAGTTATTAACAATTATTATCTTACCTGTTGTGGATAGGTTCTTTGAACTACCTGACATTTAAGAAACAGAGCTTAATTCAGACTAGATTGAAATGTTCACAGTGAGCCCGAGCAAAGCCAAGAACAAAAAAAAAGTCAAACGACTCCTATTACGAAAAAAAATTGACATTTCATATGAATTCTATCTTGTTTAAAAGGAAAATCCTGTCAATTTCATATTAGGCTATTATTTCTTTTGAATTATATGGTTTTGGTAAGTGCAAATTGTAGCAGCTAGATTTAGTATATTTTAGTTTTATCCACAATCCACTACGGTCTTAGGGTAGTTCAGAGTTAAATTATCTGTCAAGTCAGAGCTAATCAGTACTTTTCCAAACTGAGGTAGTTTAACAGCTGCCAACAAGTGATATATTGTTTTTTTCATTAACTGTTCTTTTTTTTCTTCACAACTTACACCGAATGACTCATTGTACCAATTTGAGCTGCACCAAAAGAAACAAAGCAAAACAGTAATTTAAATAATTAGTGTTCTGAAAGAAATACATAATTTGAGCTATAGTTTAATCGTAAGACGAATGTATCATCATCATCACCATTGTCATCCCCATCTTCACTCACTGCCCTCTCTACCTGCCTGGAGGAGATAAGGGCATGGATGAATCTGAACTTTCTTCAGTTAAACTGCTCCAAAACTGAGGCCATACTGATTGGCACCCCTCACCAGGTTCAAACATCAACTATAACGACTATTTCCTTTTCTGGACAAGACATCCCCCTCTCCACCTCTGTTACAAATCTTGGAGTAAGAATGGACTCTCATCTTACATTTGAAAATCACATTAAGCATCTGTTTAAAACCACCTGTTGCTTCCATCTCCGAAATCTCTCTTTTGCAGATGCAGAGTAACTCGTCCATGCCTTTGTCTCCTCCAGGCTCGACTACTGCAACTCCCTGTTTACTGGAATCCCCGGCAAAAACCTTCAGAAGCTTCACTATATTCAAAACAGTGCAGCCAGGATCTTATTGAGAGCTCGTAAATTTGAACATATTACACCCATTCTCCATAACCACCACTGGCTTCCTGTCACCTACAGAATTCAGTACAAAATTGCTCTCATTGCCCATCAGTGTTTAAACGGAACTTCACCAGATTATCTGAAGGACCTTCTTGCTCCATATTCATCCACCTGGTCCCTACAATCACAGAACTGTAATCTCCTCCACCTTCCACAAACTAAATTAAGGACCATGGGAGATCGGGCATTCTGTGTGGCTGCCCCCTGCCTCTGGAATGTTTGATACCACCAGGAATCTTACTGCTAACCACCTAAACTGAACCAATGGTGTGGAAAAGAGTCTTTCAAAAGCCCAAAGGTCCCTCAGCAGAGCCTCTGAAGTCTGCAGGAAGGGGAAACTACATGAAGAATGAAAGTCTCAGCAGTACCAGCTGTCTGGCCTTTATGGTAGACCAGCTGGATGAAAACATGAAGAGCAGCCTGGCTGGAGTTTACCAAGAAAAGCATTTAAAATATGACCTTTCTGAGTGGTTATCAAAGCATACATGGGCTAAATTTACCATCTGAATTGTAACAAAATGTTTTTTACTTTGTTGATATGGGTTATTAAACCCATGAAGAGTTAGTTTTAATTCAAACCAAAGAAAAAAATGGCTGGATTTCTTTTGGAGGCAGACAAATCTATTTTTGTGTCATAAATGAAACATGTCCGATCACTGATCTGGAACTAGTAGATACTGAAACTTCAGTGACGGAAATTTAAAATAAACGTAGTTACATAAATAGAAATAAAACTTCCATGGCACATAGGTGAAACAGGTGTGGGGAACTATGTGTGCGTTTTAATTCATTCAACCTTTATTTAGACAGGTTAATCCAATTGAACCTCGGGGACTCATTTACAAGAGAGACCTGATTATGTGCCATTTGTATAAATTAACCTCTGTATTTATTATAACAAATTTTATGTATGTTTTTTAGGTGCCAAATTTCCCATTAAGTGGACAGCTCCAGAGGCCATCAACTATGGCACCTTCACCATTAAATCAGACATGTGGTCCTTTGGAGTCCTTCTTTACGAGATTATCACGTATGGGAAAATCCCATACCCAGGTACATACACTGCGTCTTCTGCTTGAAGTTTAGAAAGAAGGGATGAATGCATTAACTATAAAAAGTTAAACACCCAAAAGTGATGGTCCAGCTTGGATGTAATTTGGGAAACATGCAGATATGTAAACGATTTGACTGACAAAGAGCTAGTACATTTGGAATGGTCTCCAGAGAACACAAGTGGTGGCATCACAGGTGCAGCAATTGTGTTACTGAGCAGATGTCAGAGTTTCCAACAGTCAACAGACACAAAAGATGTCTCAAAGAATCAGTAGACAGCAGTACCAGCATTTGATGGAGGCACATTATGGGTTTCCAAGAGGCTTGGTGGTTGTGTTGCACAACTGCCTGACATGCAAGGCCAAGACAGAACACACCAAGAAGGATTGTTGTATTGTGTGCCAAGCATTACAGAGTCCTGTGACATTTGGTCCAGGTAATCCAGAAGCAGAGATTGCTTACAATACTCCATGTCATCCCAAAATTGTGTTGACAACTCTCATCACTGTACTACAGGTTCATTGTTCAAATGGTGGGCTGCCATTAACACCAGAGCAGAGATGCTTTGTTTGGAGTAATGCTGGGAATTATGGAATGATGACAAGTGATCCCTTAAGATGTTCTGCATTAAACCTTGGTTCTAGATCGTTGCAGATGACTATCATGTGTAAAAGGTGGGATCAAGGAGAGAAACTTTTGCTAATGTGGTAGAAAGATACATTGGTGCAACTCTTGCCATCGTAGTGTAGGGAGCCATGGACTATGACTTCAGTCCTTCTCTGGTAGGAATTCAGGGTTACTGACAGCACAGAGACATCATGTGTACATGTCTTACCCCTCCTGAGACAGCACCCTGGCACAGTCTTTGAACAAGACAATCCCTGTCCACTATATGAACGTCTGCTTCATCTTGAAGTCCAGTGACCATCCATGTCCTGCCTGTGACTGTTCCCCAGTCAAACGTGTGAGACCACCTAATGTGGCCTGTTGAATCTTTAGAGCCAGTTATGACAGCTGTGGGCCAACTTGCTGCAGGAGCTGAATAATGCTGTAGAATTGGTCAAATCTTTTATGCTGGTGAGAGCGACTGCTGCACCCTACTTACATCGAAACGTCAGTGTACCCATACAACCAAATCCGTTAGCAACTGATTCTCATATAGTGTAATTATTGTTGCTCAGTCAGTGTTATATGATCTGACATTTTCTTCATAGTCTTTCTCTGCAATTTTGATTCAATGAACAGCCCACTAAGTGCAGACATCATTATTTATGTTATTTTTATTCAGTGTTGCAGAAAAATGTATATTTGTGGTGGATTATTATTTCAACTATGCCTTGGACCAACTTGTTTCCTAAATGATGTTGTTAAGTGTTACATTATTTCTTACTGCCCTCTGCCTGCTAAATGTATTTCCTACACTGCATGCACATCCATCCATCCGTTCATCCATTATCTTTACCCGCTTCTTCCTTTTCGGGTCACGGGGGTCACTGGTACCCATATCCAGCAGTTACTGTGCGAGAGGCAGGGTGCACTATGGACAGGTTTCAAGTCCATCCCATTCACTTCCATTTCACAGCTCCATTAACTCTCTGAGTCCACCTCTACACATTCCACTGTCACATATTAATCCACTCTGTGTGTCTGTTTCAAGGTATGACCAAAGCAGAGGTGGTTTCTTCGATTCAACGCGGCTACAGGATGCCACGGCCTGACAACTGTCCCCAAGAGCTGTATGATATCATGACATCCTGCTGGAATCAGAAGCCTGATGACAGGCCCACCTTTGACTACACACAGAGTGTCCTGGATGACTTCTACACTGCCACAGAGTCGCAGTACCAGCAGCCATAGTGACTACAAGCCAGGAAGATGTCATTTCACATTCACTCATTATGTTTAAAGCTACTCTTGAAGAGTAGATTTGTTTGTATACATGGACAATAACATTATTTTTATACAATGCACATAAAATTCAGTTTGCAATTTTATAAAATCCTTCATCGTGGACATCTAAAATGCTAGAGTGACGTTTGAAAACTTGTGTTTGAGCTCATTCTCAAAATGTCTAAAATCCAAGTAGCATCATGTACAAAAGAAAATACACTGTGCCCACATCTTATTGTATTTGAATCATTTGACACTGGAACATTTTAAATATATTGGCTAGATGGACTCAGTTGAAAACATGTTTTTTTGTTGAAGCATCAAACAGCAGATCTATGTTATAAAATATATGATTTCTTGGTGTTATTTAAATTACTCAGTTTCCTTCAAGGTGCGGATGTTTATCAAATTGAAGCCTTATTTTAGGTGAACCATCAAATCTTTTGTCCTTATGAGTTGCAGTTTGCATTTCAAAAGAAGGAACTAATGTTTGCTGTACAGAAATGTGCATACGTTTAAAGTTATTTGCTTTACATTTCAGAAATAATCAATAAGCTGCTTTTACGCTGAGGCTCCGACTGTCTCGTAGCAGTTCATATTTTACTGTTTATGCAAATAATGAGCTTCTTCTTTTTGTCCAGAGAGGGCTTGATCACCTCTGTGTCCACTTCATATTGAAGTCCTGAGTAGCTTTTTGTTTTCTTGTTTTGGGGATTAAAGTATGGAAGCTTTTGCCTTGTTATCACCATTTCAATGACTGTTTCCTTTTTACAATACAATTTGTTATATATTATAATTTTTTTTGATTTAACAGTAAAAGATTTTTTTTTTTTTTTTTCAGAATGGAACCGTTTATTGTGTTCACTGTTTGAAACAATGAGATGTTTTTCATTAAAATGTGCTTTGGTATTTGAATAACGATGGCGCCTCCAGAATTTTTTTATAGGGTGGTCATGTGGAGGCCAGTGAAAATGCCAAAACAAAAAGCCATGAAAGCATTTAGGAAACTCTTTAATGTTGCCGTAAAATGGCAATTGGAAAATTATTTTGCAGGTAAAATGACTACTGTAATTATGTGACGAGCATGGACCAGAGCCAGTAACATTTGGAGTTCCACAACAGTCCCATTGTGTCCAGTGTTGTATATTTACATACGCATTTAATGCCATAAATTGTTCTTAAATTAGGTTTTTCTATCCTTTACACTAAGAAAGTCAAATGTTCCTCTTTAATTTGAAGGTGTGTACTGAACAAAACATTTACTAGAGGCAAGTGTTCTTACGTTCCAAGCCACCACTTCTAACTATTTTAAAAATATTTGTATTTATTTGTTGCTGTGTACATTTGTGAACAAAAAATGTGTTGTTATAAATGTCCAAAGCTGAAAATAATGTTGAGGACCAGTTTCAGCAGGACTAGATCTTAAGTTCTATTTTCAATTTCAAACTAAATATCTTAATATTTTTAAGCTCCTAATTGCTCAAAACATTGTTTTGGTTCCACTAATTCTAAATGGGGGTGAGGGGGGGGGGGGGGGGGTTAAAAATGCAGACCAAGGACTGATGATAAAAGTCTGACCAAGGTGGTGAGCAAAATTTTATAAAGGGTCATTGACTCTATTATAAATACCAATGTCCGTGTGCTTTGCAGTCATTCTGACATAGCAGAACATTTTGCTATTACAATGTAAAATAACATATTTATAATTACAAAAACCAAGAATTGAATGTCGACCTTGATTATATTTTGAAAACAAACAACTAGGAATCTATTTGGTGTGCGGTGCCTGATTTTATGACTGTAGCTTTATAGACTGGCCTGCCTGCCGGCCCCCACCCCAGATCCCACAAACTAACACACATATAACTCAAAATATGAACGTGCACCAGCTAAATTTTTAATTTTACAAATGTAAAATTTATACATTTTCATTTTACAGAAGTCAATGTTACAAGTGTTCATGTGAATGGGGCAAGACTTAAAGGTTCTACTGGAACCAGTTGACGGTGAAGGCTGGATCTGCCAGCCATAAGACAAACAAATATCGCTTTTCTTTGTTAAATAAAAATGATGAGCAGTGTTAGGAATTCATATGTGAGCTACACAAAAGAGTAAAGAGGAACGATTTTGAACAATTATCGACCAATCTCCAAACTCTGTATTTTAGCTAAGATTTTAGAAAAACTGATAAATACACAAGTCAAGAAGTATTTGGACTTTTTTAATACTTTATCTTCCCTCCAATCTGGTTTCAGGAAACAACACAGCACAATGACTGCTTCGATGAAGGGTTTTTATGATGCTGTTGAAGCTTTGGACACAAAAGATGCTGCACTTTACTTAGACCTATCCAAAGCCTTTGATACTGTAGATCATGACATCTTATGCCACAAGCTCTCAGATACTGGCTTCTCAGATCATACTGTGGGCTGGTTCTCAAACTATCTCTCAGGATGAAGGCAATGTGTTCGACATAACGGTACTTCATTTAGCTACCTAAAGGTCACCGATGGTGTACCACAAGGCTCAGTTTTGGGTCCCACTCTTTTTACAATTTATATAAATCATTTAGGTCAAAACATTCCTGACGCATCCTTGCATCTCTATGCCGATGACACTGTTGTCTATTGTCAAGCTAACACCGTTGCCAAGGTTTTCCAGCTTCTACAGTTTGCATTTGACATCATTCAGTTAGGCTTATTCCATCTCAAGCTGGTGCTAAATGCTGATAAAACCAAAGGGATGTTGTTTTCAAACAGAAGAATGGTGACAGCAACTCTTCCTCCTATCTCATCCATGCATGGTGTTCCTATTGAGTTTGTAGATTCTTACAAATACTTGGGAATTTTGGTCGATGCACATCTCTCTTTTAAACCACATATTGAAAACTTGATAAAGAATCTGTAATTAAAACTGGGTTTCTTTTTCAGAAATAGATATTGGTTAGCTCTGAATGCCAGAAAACGCCTTGTAACTGCTACCTTCCTACCGGCCACTGACTATGGTGACATTATTTATATGAATGCCTCTGCCAGCTCCATGCAGATGTTGGATTCTGTTACCATGGTGCACTAAGATTCATAACTGGTTGTAACTACCATACCCATTACTACACTCTGTACTCCTTGGTCAGTTGGGCTTCATTATCTACACGTAGGCTCTCACACTGGTTCATTTTCATCTATAAATCCCTCCTTGCTCTGCTGCCTTCTTGTATCTCCTCCCATATGCCACGTCATCAGTACAGTTACAACATGTGCTCTCAGGCCTTCATTACCTGCAGTGTTCCCTCAGTGTGGACTGAACTTGACAAAAAGGCCTTTTCCTACTCTGCTCCTGGAACACCTTGCAACAGGAACTGAAGTTGTCCACCTTGATTTATTTAAGGGGTTTCAAACATTTGATAATGGCAGATATGTACTTGTTCTTACTATTTCCCTCTGTTTTATGGCACCTGGATTTATTGTTTTATACACTTATGTTAACTGCATTTTCACTGTAGTTTATTGTTGTCATTGTTTACTGTTATTGTTGCCTGTATTTTATATTTTCTGTCTGGAACAAGTCCCTCTTGTTAATGAGTCCCTGTGGCTCAATGAGACTAGCCTGTATAAATAAAGGTTGAATGAAAATAATAAGAATAAGAATAAGAATAATAAGTTCATGCTCAATAATCCAGGTATAAAATCCAGCAATGTACAGTCAGTTCAACTGGACGTTTTCTTTTTTTTTTTTTAATAAAATGAAATGGAAAAAAAAAACATTTAATTCATTGCCAACATTTGGACCTCAACACTGTTTTTCAGACACAACTTACTAAGCCTTAAATTGTTTATTTCATTGTAAGTTTACAAATGTCAACTCTTTAAATATTGTCAAACGTATATTAAAAAGGGGGAAACTGTTCTCTCTCTCTTTCTCTCTTTCTCTTTCTCTCTTTCTTTCCAGGAACAGCTTTTTTTAATTTTTTTTATTATTTTGTTTTTTTAATCTTTATTGAAAAGTACAAAACAATACAATAAAATGCAGTATACAGTAATGATATAACAGACGCCAGGGGGTTACAAACACTGAGACAGTAACTTACAATTACATATTACATAAATATTTTGAAGAGCGCACATAAGGTGCAAGTTTTTATGGCCTTCGTGTTGGTGGAGTATTTAATAGTTTTGATGTATTGTTTGACCTCATTTTCAAAAATGGAGATAAGAGGTTTTTGATTAGTGTATCGACATTTATGACTATGCCATTTGGCTAGGTATATAATGAGATTAATAATATAGAACTGTTTTTCTTTAGCTGTTGGGTAGTCAGTGAAGCCAAACAAAACATGTTCAAAGCAAAGTAAAAGAAATGGTTCTATAAAAGTAGAAATCAAAGTACAAATACTTTTCCAAAATTGAGTCGAGAAGGGGCAAGACCAAAATAAATGAAAGACATCTTCTGGGTTTTCATCACAAAAAGAGCAAATTATATTTATATCCTTGTTAAACCGTTGTAAATAAACTTTGGATGGGTAAAATCTATGAATAATCTTGAATGATACTTCTCTTACTTTATTATTTATTGTGTATCTGGTTGGTAAAGTCCAAATCCTTTCCAGTTAAGGTTATTAATAAAGTTGTTCCAATAAGGTACCACATATGGAGTTGACACAACATCTTTCTGAAATAGTGAACGGATACGACGGTTGTTGTTACGAGTTGAGGAGAAGCAGATTTGACCAATTTCAAGTTTGGTTGGATCAAAGGGTAATAACAGTGTTGGATTCTGTCCTGCTGTACTTCTATGTAAAATAATTACTCCAGTAGGGATTGCTTTTATTGCAATATTAAATTTGTTAATAGGGATCATAATGTTATATTTTATGACAAATTCTTGATACGACATTAATGATCCATCAGTGTTGAGCAACTGATGAACTAAAACTATGTTGTGAATAAACCAATTAGGGTAAAATAAGGATTTGTTTTTATGCAAGATGTCTCTATTGTTCCAAATATAATATCTGTGTGGAGAGAAATTATGTTTGTAAATCAATGACCAAGAGAGAAGCATCTGTTTATGAAAACTGGATAGTTTTGAGGGAACTTTTTCAGCATTATAATTGCAAAATAGAAAGAAATTGAGGCCTCCTAATTTAGAGAAAATGAAGGAACAGCTTTTATTTTGAAGCGTCGCCTCGGTTTCCTGGCTAGTCACGTGATGTTCAAACATGGCCGCGCCCACTGAGAAGTGTTTTTTTTTTCGTTACTAGCTACTCAAAAAGCTGCTTGTCACTACTGACCTCTCAAGCGAGAATTTGGAGTTGTTTTTTTCAACAGACCTGCCTCATCGCGCCTCGCAGACATGAGCAAGAACGATTTAATCCTGTAAGTCTCCGCCTTTTGCTCCGTACGGTCAATTTCAGGAATCATTTTATCGACTGGCGGTCAAAACTTTACGAAACCAGCGTTTCATAAAAGGACATTAACGAGTGAATCCCCTTGTTTTCAGCATGCGTAGTAGTTTTTAGTGCAAACTTAAAAGCTACAATATCAAAATGTTCATTCTACATTTAGCCCCATTTGAATGAGCTTCCTTTCAATTCATTTCCTGTAGAGAGAGTTTATAATCTGTCGTCTCTGTAAGTTATTGAACTCATTTACAGCAGCGCTGGATGGCATCACTGTTCAAGGATTTGTTTGTTTTGACTCTTAAAATAATTTAGTAGACACTTTATGTATTTTCTTTTCTTTTTATATGTCTGAAATTCTTTTAAATTTACATGGTGACATAACCCAAAATAAACTCTTGTCTGTTAGTAGGACACAAGGACTGATTGTCGAGGTTTGACAGCAGCCATACTGTGTGCACATCCTGTCATCTATTCGTCTCTTTTTAAATGTAATATTCAAGTCTAATTTTAATTGGACAGCCGTGATGCATCAGTGGTTCCCATCCCCAGATTCAACCGTTCTTCTGTGCTGCTGAGAGCCGATAAGAGCTCAGAGAAGTGTTATCTTCCATAATCACCGAGACCAGCTCAGTGGGATGCTCTGTGTGTCTGCAGGGAAAGGGAGGGGTGCACCAGTATTATTGATAAGACAAATAAGGTTTTCTTTTGTCTAAAAGTGAAGCAACCAGCTGGGCTTCATCGTCACAAACATCCATCCATTATCACAAAGTTTGTTTTCTCAGTCATCCAGGTATATAACAACAAAAAAGGTTGAAGTCAGGGTGGCTTCTGGGTAATACCAGATGGCTAGGCCTCAGACTGACGAAGCCTCTTGGATGAGGGGCGAAACGTTTCTTTTTAACAAAAAAAACGAAGTCCAGATGACATGATTCAACCTTTTTTGTTGATCCATCCATTATCTTTTACCCGCTTCTTCCATTTTGGGTCACGGGGGTCGCCGGTGCCCATGTCCAGCAATCACTGTGCGAGGGGCGGGGTACACCCTGGACAGGTCTCCAGTCCATCACAGGGACACATAGAGACAAACGAGACAACCATTCAACGTCTCACTCACACTTAGGGACAATTTAGAGTTCCCAATCATTGAAATTACAACGTGCACGTTGTAATTTCAATGATTGATTTAGTACCATACCAATTTATTTATATAGCACTTAAAACAGCAACAAGGCCAACCAAAGTGCTGTACAAAAGAACCAAAAAGGAAATAATATTCATTGAGAGCAATAATTGTGACCAGAAGAATGTTTTCTGGGGCTTTGATGTTAAAAATGCTAATCTAGTGGCGTTTTTTTATTTGATTTTTTATTATCTAGCCCTAAAGACTTTCCTCAGCTGAAGAACGACACGTTCCTGAGAGCGGCTCGTGGAGAACAAGTGGAACATGTTCCTGTCTGGTGCATGAGACAGGCGGGAAGATACTTACCAGGTTTTCTCCTTTTGAATACCTTTTTTATTTCTTCTGACGCAGACAGTACAAGTGTAACAAAAATACACTGTATATGAATTCCAACATTGTGCAATCACATATTTTATTGCTTTCAACGTATTATATTTTCTTAGAATTTGTTATAATTTGGGGATTTATGTTCTGGTCTTGTTTTCTGTTGTTCAAGATGTTCTCTGTTGTTAAATCTTCTCTCCAGAGTTTCGTGAGGCCAGAGCGGGGAAGGACTTCTTTGAGACGTGTCGGTCACCAGAGGCCTGCTGTGAGCTCACACTGCAGGTTAAACAGAGGAGAAAACTAAATATTCACTCTAATTATTAAATGCATATAAATCATTTTAACCTTGACTGTTTGTTTTTGACCTTCAGCCTCTGAGACGTTTTCCTTTTGACGCTGCCATCATCTTCTCTGATATCCTCGTCGTCCCACAGGTTAGAACAAGTTCAGTTCATAACACCTGAACTACTTTACAAATAATCAGCATTAAAATGTTATTTGTATCTCTCCCCCCCCATAATTCTTGAGATTAAAACAGTAGCTGTAAATGGACATAATGTGTTCGTTCCTGTGGCTGTTTATGTTGTTTATCTGCAACCTTTGTAGACTCCAACCAGAAATAATTAGTCATCGTTTCTCTCGTTGTCATTTTGTTGGAACTGTTGGGTTAGAAACATCCTTTTAAAAAAAAAAAAAAAAGAATTCATTGTTCACTGTCATGGATGCTAATGTAAACGTCTGATTGGTTAGTGCCCAGTATGTGTTGGAGACCAGTCAGCTACTACTACACCACATCTTATAACAATTCTTTTAAAGTTATTTAGGGTATTCAATTCAATCCAGTTTATTTATATAGTGCCAAGTCACAACAGAAGTCATCTCACGACACTGAACATTCATATATAAAAATAACAAGTTAACACTATTTATTAGGGATGTACGATATTAGATTTTTGGCCGATATCCGATATGTCAATAGCTTAAAACTTATTTGGCCGATGATCGATACCGATACAGATATATTTTTTCCTAGACCTACTTCCAGAGACTACATAGCTTTCTCTGCTGTCGAATTAAAATACATTATTTTGCATGGTTTTTGTCAATTTGTCTGCTACCCAATGCAGATGCCAAAAAGGGGCTGAAAATGATGCAACACTTGAACTTGGATTATGTTTAATGTCACATTCATTCATGACATTTACTCTCTAACACAACGACAACACTCGAACTGTGCAAATTTGTAAATTTTCATTCATCTAAACTCGACCTGTTCACAAGCAAAAAGTGAAAAGCGCACAAGTAATAGTGCATTAATAGATATACTTAACAGTTCCTTAAATAAAAAATTAACATAAAACAGAAGACTTTTGTATCTGTGAGTTATTTTGATGGAATGGCCGATATCCAATATTTAACTTTATCGCTAATATCGACCGATATCGATACCATGCCGATAATATCGTGCATCCCTACTATTTATCTGAGGAGCAGAGTGCTTTGAATTTAACTCCATCGCAGACTCTCATCCTGAGCATGAAGGTGACAGTGGAAAGGAAAAACTCTCTCATGAGGAATAGACTTTGTCTGAAACTTGGTATGGCCATTTTGGTTAGATCGAAGTTAACTGAGTTTGGTAAACCATCTTGAACTGGGTGAACTTTATAATACAATCACTTGTAGAGCTCCATCCAATAATTACTTTCTGAGCGTTTCACTGAAATATGTCCAACAGTTCATGAGATATTTTGCTAACCAAGGTTTTAAGCAAAGATGTCGCATACTGTGTCCGGTTACTACCACCACTGGGGCGGGCTCATCCTTGATCTACCTGTGATTTATCTGTTTAAATAAAGGTTGAATGAACCTGGATTACTGAGCATGCATCAGGACAATAATCAGACATTTGAACTGAAGAATGAATAAACTTGTCACACAACTTTAGAGATTAACCTTTGTTCTAGTTCCTGTTGTTTCATAAGCAAAATAAATATCTTCATTTCTTCTCCGTCTCCTCAGGCCATGGGTCTGGAAGTCCAGATGTTGACAGGCAAAGGTCCGACATTTACAGACCCCCTGAAGGAGCCCGAGGACCTGCAGCGCCTGCAGGCCAAAGTGGATGTGGGCAAGGAGCTGGATTATGTCTTCAGAGCCATCACTCTGACCCGACACAAGATCGAAGGAAAGGTTCCCCTCATAGGATTCACAGGAGCGCCGGTCAGACACACACACACCGTTTAATGATTAAAGGCTTGTTGCATTGAACTTGACTCCCATCTGTCACCGTGTCCCTCTGCAGTGGACTCTGATGTCATATATGATAGAAGGTGGGGGCTCCAGCACCCACTCTAAAGCGAAGCGTTGGCTCTACCGGCACCCTGAATCCAGCCACATGCTGCTGAAGATGCTGACAGATGTGATTGTTGAGTATCTGCTGGGACAGGTAGCAGCTGGAGCTCAGGTCAGACCCTTCGATTTTCATTCTGGAAGAATACGTACACATTTAACAAAACACAGAGTTACATGCATTTATAGAACTGAGTTATAAACATCTGTGCTTCTTTTGATATTTAATTGTTAATACCCGAAACATTATGTTTAACAGACAACCATGAGTCATGCTGTTTACAGCAACAGAAATAAATCCTACTGCCTGAGCTTCTTGTATCAACTGTTTTCGGTAGCAAAAAGAAAAAGGTTATTTCTTTGGTTTCCTAAAAACGAAGAACCAGAGAACACAAAGCTGCGTTATTACACACATGTTTGGAAAGAAGTGGCATTTTCAAAGTATGGCATTTTTGGAGTGCATCTTGAAAATTTTCCATTTAAATGCTTTATTGCTCAAGACGAGATCTGTAAACCATCGCTCGAGCAGTTCTAATGTTGACACACGTAAGAAATGAAGCAGCTGTGTGACTGAAAAGCTCCGGTCCTGCTGTGTTGATCTGAGTGCAGTTATTCTGTCTGTCTGAGCTTCGACATAGTCTGAGATAGGGTGAGAAGCTCGATTATCTGGGAGGGACTCAGAGTAGAGTCGCTGCTTCTCCACGTCGAGAGGAGCCAGTTGAGGTGGCTCGAGCATCTGGTTAGGATGCCTCCTGGACGCCTCCCTGGTGAGGTGTTCCGGACATGTCCCACCGGGAGGAGACCCAGAGGAAGACCCAGGACACGCTGGAGGGACTATGTTTCTCAGCTGGCCTGGGAACGCCTTGGGATTCTCCCGGAGGAGCTGGACCAAGTGGCTGGGGAGAGGGAAGTCTGGGCCTCCCTACTTAAGCTGCTACCCCCACGACCCAACCCCGGATATGTGGAAGAAAATAGATGGATGAATAATTGTTCAGTTAACATCCATAACATTCCTCTAACTCTAAGGGAGAGCCCAGACACCCTGCGGAGAAAACTCATTTCGGCTGCTTGTATCCAAGATCTCATTCTTTCGGTCACAACCCAAAGCTCGTGACCATAGATGAGGGTAGGAACGTAGATCGACTGGTAAATTGAGAGCTTCTCCTTTTGACTCAGCTCTCTCTTCACCACGACAGACCGGTACAGCGCCCGCTTCACTGCTGATGCTGCACCCATTTGCCTATCGATCTCACGTTCCATTTTTCCCTCATTCATGAACAAGACTCCTCCACTTTGGGCAGGACTTGGGGCACTCTACCCTTTTCTGACTCAAGACCATGGCCTCGGATTTGGAGGAACTGATCTTCATCCCGGCCACGTCACTCTGCTGCAAACAGCTCCAGCGAAAGCTGTAGATCACGACCTGATGAAGCCAATAGAACCACATCATCTTCAGAAAGCAGAGAAGTCATCCTAAGGCCACCAAAACAGATCCCTTCCACACCTCGGCTGCGCCTAGAAATTCGTCCATAAAAGTTATGAACAGAATCGTGACAAAGGGCAACCTTGGCGGAGTCCAACTCTCACCGGGAACAAGCCCGACTTACTGCCGGCAATGCGGACCAGGCTCTGACACCGGTCATACAGGGACCTAACAGCCCGTATCAAAGGGCCTGGTACCCCATACTCCTGGAGTACCCCCCACAGGGCTCCCACAGGGCTCCCACAGGGCTCCTCGAGGGACGCGGTCGAACGCCATCTCCAAGTCCACAAAGCACATTTAGACCGGTTGGGCAAACTCCCACACACCCTCCAGGACCCTGCTGAGAGTGTAGAGCTGGTCCAGTGTTCCAGGACGAAAACCGCACTGCTCCTCCTGAATCCGAGGTTCGACTATCAGACGGACCCTCCTCTCCAGAAAATAACTGATCAATTACATCTCTTAAAATAACTTCTAAAGACCCTCTCTGATTTTTACATGTAGCCCTTTCTCACCCACTTCCAGTCGGTGTGGACTACCCACACTGACTGGTTTTGTAACATTTAACTGGAAACCGTGGTGACAGAAACCAGGGAGCAGCTGGCTCCTCCTCCTCGCCATCCAAGATGTTTAAGTGTTTGTCAGGGCTCGGAGATCTTTATCATCAAACAAGGTGTGTCTGGTTTTACTGCAGATGGTTCAGGGAGGAACTTCCTTTGTGTTCAAACGGTTTGACTAGAAGTAAATTCCCTTCGTTTTCTTCTTCCTGCGCAGGCTTTGCAGGTGTTCGAGTCCCACGCTGGCATTCTGGGGCCAGTCGAGTTCAAAGAGTTTTCTCTGCCTTACCTGCGAGACATTGCTCGACGTGTCAAAGACAGACTGAAGGAGAAGGACCAGGATGTTCCCATGGTGAGGCGAAACCACGAACTCGCATGTGTTGTTTACATCAACATGCACACCTGTAAACAAAACATTTTTACACTTGATGTCAAAGTCACTTTTATTTATTCAGCACTTTAAAACTCAGCACGGTTTACCACGGTACTTTACCAGCTAGTTAAAATCAGTTCGTATAACAGCACATAAAAACCAACAAGCAGAATAAAATGGGCTAAAAACAAACTAAACGAGGAAACATGAAGACATAAACGATCTGATGGAACTCGAACTGGACTAGAGAAATTGCATTTTTTGCGTAAATGCAATGTGATTGCTTATTGCTGAAAAACAGCTCAAATTAGCTAAAAAATGCTGAATTATAGCTGAAATGAAAGAACACGCCTTAATTAGAAGAAAACAGAAAGAACATTTTTTGTTTAAGTATGCATAAATTAGCAGAAATGAGCACAAAAAGTCAGAAATTGGCTTTAAAAAGGCTGAAATTAGAAAAGAAAAAGCTGAAAAGTAGCTGAAAAGGCAGAAAGAAGCTTAAGCTTGTAGAAGTGGAAATAACTGAAATGAAGTAAAAAAAAAAAAAGGTGAAATTAGCTGAAAGGCTACACAACGTATTTGAAAACAAAAGGCACACGTCCTGATGACAAACAGGTGTTAGTAAAATACTAAACATGTTGACGTGAAGAGTTTCCTTAAAGTATTAAAGGGGTGGATACTTTGCAGGGAATGGGAAAGTCTTAAATATAGACAAATATATGTTGTGTATTTGTCATATGCAGATTAACACAAGGTCAACAATGCAATGAAATGTTCAGGATGAGAAGAACCAATTAGACTCACTAAAAACAATGATAATAATAAACAAAACAAGAAATACTAAAGCATGCAATAAGGGTACAAAATAAAATACCAAACAGTGAAAAATAAATATATTTACAAGGTCCAAAAGAAATGCGGTAAACAATAGCAAAACTTGATATTACCAATAAAACCAACTAAAACGGGGCTAAACGTGCTGGGAAACAGCATTCAGGAGGTCCAGACTGAACAAACAGGCTGTGAATGACGAGGCCTTGAAGCTGAATTTATTTTACATTAAAAAATGTTTTAAAAACCGTCGAGTTCAGAGACACTTCCATGGAAAATGTGTCAAATATTAAAGGGAACTCTTTACAGAGATCGTATTGGACAGGAAGTCAGGACTGTTCTGTTGTTGCTCTCCTCTGAGACGTTGACAAACCAAACTAGATCAAGTGTGTGGCCATTTTTCATGAAGTCGAATCACTCCGAAGGAACTGGAGCTGGAAGAAGAAGGTCTGCCGGTGACCTGCAGGTGGCAGCACTGCTCTGTAAATGGATTACATCAAGCAGCATTCTTACTTGTGGCTATTTTTGTGTTTGTCTTACAGATCGTGTTTGCTAAAGATGCTCACTATGGTTTAGAGGACCTCTCCGAGTCTCATTACGACGTGGTGGGTCTGGACTGGACCATCGACCCCCGATCAGCACGGTAACACACACGTTCTTGCTTTTTGTTGTTTCTGATAACTTCTGCTGCTCGCTAAAGTCTGAGTTCAGCATTCGTCCTTGTCTGTTGTAATTTGGTTTTATGGGGGGGGGGGGGTGTCTGTTGTCTGTCCCAAGCAGCAGGTTAACTATTGCTAACCTCTGTCTTCTTCTGGTTTGTCACTAAGAGCAGGATTTATGTCAACAAACATCTGCGTTTCCTGCTCCTCATCAAATACTTAACCTGCTGGTTAAAGGATTAACTAGTGTGTGTGTGTGCGTGTGTGTGTGTGTTTGTGTGTGTGTGCACGTGTGTGTGTGTTCAGAGAGCGCACAGGAGGGAAGGTCAGTCTGCAGGGGAACATGGACCCTTGTGCTCTTTATGCTCCTAAGGTAACTGCTTTAATGACATACATGAGCAGGAGTTCATCGCTTCTGATCTTTTCCAACATTTCTGATTCATGCTGTGGAAAATAAAGAGGACAAATCACTATAATCTTCCTCAACTGAAAGCTTTTACTCTAAAATGCTTTTGAGGATGTTGGCAGATGATTTTTCCATGTCTGAATTGTGAGCGATCCTAAATTTCTAGAATTATTTTTAATGTTTTAGGCAAAAATGTGTTTGTCTTTGTAATTCAATTAAGATCACTTTTTGTTATTAATCATTTAAGAGACCTTTAAAAAAATCTTTTTGTTTTTGGGGAAAAAATGCCAACATGAAGCCAAAACATGCACACATGGTTGTTTATATCTTTTTATTTAGATTTTTATACGATGCCATGTTTTTAGGTCTCCTCTGCTTTTTTTTGTAATTCTACTCTTGGTTTGAGCGTAACTTTTTTTTTTAGCACATTTCTTCTGTTTTTCTTCATTTTGTTCTTTTGGTCACACCTAAATGTTTCAGATCAGCAACAAATTTTAATATTAAACAAAGTTAGCCACGCCTAGACCCGACTGCTGCTTGTAGAGCTAAGAGATTACTTAAACTGAGCTGATACTAGACAGAAGTGGAAGTGGAAGTGGCAGAAATGAAGATGTTGAGGTTCTCCTCAGGAGTGACGAGGATGGATAAGATTAGGAATGAGATCATCAGAGGTACAGCACAGGTTGAACAACTGGGAGATAAAGTT